GTCGGAGCAATTCCAACCGCGGCTTCCGGTCTAGCACCGCGCATGCGCCCCGGGACGCGAGGCGTGTGGAGAGCCGCTTGCCCACAGGGGGTGGAGTCAACCTCCTTTCGGTGCGTGCTGCAGGGACGCCACAGACTTCCAGCTGGGAGGGGATTGTCCTGCCGCTGCGCATGCGCCCTACTTCCTCCTCCTCCCCCCGTGGAGCGCTCCAGCCTCTTCGTCTCCGCCGCAGCTTCAGGCTGTAGCCCCGCCCAGAGAGCAGTGATTGGAGACGGGGGAGAGCAGGGCGGGGCTGAGCGGTGATAGGCGCAGTAGGGGGCGGGGTGAGGCAGCGGGCTGGACTTTTCCCCTCCCATGAGAGGAACCCGCGGAGGCACGGCTGCCCCCCATCGCGGCGCGGGTTGTGCACGTGACCAGCCTAGGGCAGCGCTTCACCGTTATGAGTTAAATAAAACAATGCCCGGTCCCGCAAAGCTTGCCTGACCACACCCTGCAGTGGGGCCAATGAAAATATCACCCTCAGAGATATAAATATATAATAAACAGTGATACATAATACAGATATAATAAAACATATATCAGGTATCCAGGTTGTAACCGTACCGGTCTAGAGAGAAAGGCAATCAGGACTCATAGTAGAGAGGATGCCTTTTTATTTAGACCAATAACATTTTTGCCAAACAATTAAAAGACTCTTTTTTTTGCAAAAATCGTGTTGGTCTACTAAAAGATATAATCTCTGTTGCAAGGAAAATCAAATCTGGTCATGTCAAGTTGACCATACTCCCAGAAGTCTTTTCGAGATGACTCAAAATTGGTAATAATTGTGGCCTAAAGTTAACCTGAGTAACATGCCAGGGAGCATGGAACATTTAAAACAATGGAACAATTAGAACCTTAAATTAAAATGATACCGTGGTTATTTGGGGGAGTAATTAATTTGAGGATGGGAAAATAACAGGAAAATATTCCCAAGGTGCAAGGATGTGCTATTGTATTCTTAGGATCTATGAGCCAAAATGTTAAATAACAAGCTTGACTAACATTGATAATGGTGACATCACTAAAGGGTTAAATAGCCTAAGCAAGTAAAGTCAGTGTTCGGTGGTTGCTGTTTGCTGTATGCTATCTGAACCATTTGCATGGATTTCTGAGGGAGACATCTGCATGGATCTGTAAAGGAGGACCAAGCCCTCGGTCCTTAATATACATCCATATGCATGTATGTATATTAAGGCAATCCCAGTAAAGTTGACGACTTGTATTCTGGCGACCCCAGTTGATGAATTGCTTTGTGCTTAAGTAGATGTTTTATAGTCAGTAAAGCTTCTGACTGTTGTCGGACGAGTGCCGGTGGTTAATCACAGAGTTCTCCTCGCCCACAGAGAAGTAGGGCTTGAATGAGTTTACGAATGAGTTTACGCCCAACAATCTCTACTATGAGTCCTGGTTGCATTTTTAATAAAACATATCACCCTTATCTCTGCCTCTGTTAAAATAATGCACTTAAAGCATTTCAGTGCCACAGAAGTGACCCAGGGTCTAAGTACAGACAGTGGAAAAAGTAGGGTTACCATATTTCCAGGTCCAAAAAAGAGGATGCCTGTCACCGCAGGAGGGGTGGGGGGAAGGGAGGAATATGGCGGTGAGGAGGCAGTGATGTGCCGGTGCCTTGCCCTTGCCCATTCTTTTGCCCCTCACTGA